TGGCAAAATAGAAACTGTTCTCAGTATTCTTTTTGCCATTTTACGGTATGATAGAGTTCTGATGAATGCATGCCAAGATAGAAAAGGTTAAACTTGATCTTCTAAGAAGCGCAAATTGTGCGAACAAATCTGAATGATTCAGTTTCGAATTTAGAGTTTTGGTTAAATAAGGTTAAGTTCGAACGTTAACTCACTTTAGTCAGAGAGCATATTAGCGCCAATTTGTTCCTAACGTGTAACCATTATACGTATCGATAACGTTTACACCTAATTTAACGTAAGATTTAGACAACCGCTCCACGTCATTTAACGAAGTCTAACCCACTGAGTAGTTGTTCTGAATTGGGTTAGTTTCATCGAACATTGTCATTGGAAAAGATTCCGAAAATCAGTAAAATCTAAGGCGATTTTTTTAAATAAACTAAAAAACGTCTATTTTGTTTGGTTTCATAGAGCTGATTGACAAATTCCAGCAATTTTTTTTCTCGTCGATACTGTTTATGAGAAAACTGCCAGTATGTTGGACATTTGATCTTACAACATCAGAACCTAAAAATTTCGGCAAATATGACCAGAAAATATAAATCACAGTTTCTGCAGCAAGAATGCCACAAACGATCTTGGGCTGTAAGATCAGGTTGTTTTTCAATTTGGAAAGTATCTTTCCGTCTTCAATTTCTGTGTTTGAATTTTTCGTACTAATTAATTGGTTAAAATATTAGTTTTTATGGATCTCATGTCTAACAGAATGAGATAGTTCTGAATAAAAAGAGCATTGAAGATCGTCGCGTGTTTTTTGTGATTGTATAACCGTTCTAAATAGTAGACAATAGTTCAATCCTCCTCAATAGTAGACAAGAGTTGAATTTTTTTCAAAGAGGGGGTATTTTCAAATGTGAGTCTCTTTTCTGTGTTTTTATTTAAATTCAATTGGCTTAGAATTCGTGAAAAAACAAACGATATTAGATTTGAGGTTAAAAAATTGATCTCTTCACAAACAAATTTGAATTGAGTCAAAAAATTTAAATTTTTTGAGCCGTTTGATAGTTTTATAACTGTGTCCCGAGTCAACAATTTAGAACGAAGTTGTCGGATTTTTTACCCTTTTTATCAATATGAGATAATTTTATCGAAATGTCACTCTTATATCGTTCTTCAAGCTGAGCTTAAATATTTTTAAAGTCCAAAGTTAGGCGATATCTTTTTACATTCGAGAGCGTAGTGTAAAAGTACGACTTTTTTCAAAGCTAAGTTGCACCTATCAGTGCAACTTTGAATGGCACTTCACGGCTTTTTGATAGCATAAGCTCTGACCTTTGATTAATAATAAGTTAACACAGTTGATACCTAGCAAAGTTTTACTAATTCAAGACTTATTTCTACTTTTTTTCTTGTATAAATCTGTTTTTGGTGTTCTCGCCAGTGTTTGCAAAGAGCAGCTTTGCATCTGTGTTTACTTTGAAAGTTTGAAAATTGATTTTTTTAACATAAAAAAAGTCAGTTTTTTGCTGTTAATTTTTTTTCGCTGGATCTATTTGAACTGTCTGTTGACTATGTCGATACATTTTTTAAATTTAATAGTAATGAACGTAGTGAAGACTCTTATATAGGTCTTGCTGATTTTTTCTTCATATTTTTTTCAGGAAAAAGTCTTAAACATTGATGCACTTAGGTATAAATGCTTTTTTGAGTTCAATTAAACTTCATCTGCTGAAAATGACGTGAATAGTATTATCCAAAAAAGAACGTAGAATCGGCGCAAAAAAAACGTTCACGATTTCTAGTATCAAAAGTCGAATTTAATTTTCAGATTTCCAGCGGAATAGAATTTAGCTGTTGATACATTTTCTCAAGTTGGGTTAATTTTATCAAAAAAGCGCCAGTCATAAACCGTGATAGAAAACTAAAAAGTTAAAAGGCAACAGTTTTTTTCCGTGAAACTCGAAATTTGAGATTTTTTATTTAAGTCTGTTTTTTTTTCTATGTTTACTTGCGTTCATTACTGTTTTCTAATCTTCGATTGGCTATGTTTATGGTTTATCAGTTTTTTAAGTAAAGTCGTGTCCTGTTTTTTTAGGTTGAAGCTAATCGAGGAAAACTAATCGAGGAAGCTAATCGATTCCATATTTGTAAGAGGTTTCCATCGTTCTTAGATCAATTGAAACACGCATTCACTGATTTCGTCTGTTAGGTAATAAATTATATTCAATCGTTCGAAGTAATTTGAATGAGTGTTCAGTCGAGAAGATTTTTGACTCTGTTGAGACCTGCAAACCCAAAAAATGAAGTCAAAACCCAAAAAGTGAAGTCAAAAAACAGGTTACTCTCGTAAGTTTTTCAAAAAAAATTAAAATTCTATTATGTTTCTTAAAATGAAATAGCTGAAGAATACCAGTCAAGTTTAAGAAACCAAGACTCTTAAAAAACCTAAGTGTTCATTCTATAAAGTTTTAATATTCGGACATTTGGTTGAATAAAGTTAAGTTCGAACGTTAACTCACTTTAGTCAGAGAGCATATTAGCGCCAATATGTTCCTAACTTGTAACCGTTACACGTATCGATAACGTTTACACCTAATTTATCGTAAGATTTAGACAACCGCTCCACGTCTTTTAACGACGTTTTACCCACTGGGTAGTTGTTCTGAATTGGGTTAGTTTTATCGAACATTCTCATGGGAAAAGATTCCGAAATCAGTAAAATCTTTAAGGCGATTTTTTTTAAATAAAATAAAAAAACGTATTTTATTTGGTTTCATAGAGCTGATTGACAAATTCCTCTTATTTTTTTTTTCTCGTCGATAGACTGTAGTTGAGAAAAATGCCAATAAGTTCGACATTTGATCTTACAACTTCAGAACCTAAACATTTCGTCAAATATGACCAGAAGTTAGAAATCACAGCTTCTGCAGCAAGAATGCCACAAACGATCTTGGGCTGTAAGAGCAGGTTGTTTTTTTCCAATTTGGAAAGTATCTTTCAGTCTTCAATATCTGTTGTTGAATTTTTTGTACCAATTAATTGGTTAAACTGTTAGTTTTTATGGATCTCATGGCTAACAGAATGAGATAGTTCTGAATAAAAAGAGCATTGAAGGTCGTCGCGTGTTTTTTGTGATTGTATAACCGTTCTAAAAAGTAGACAATAGTTCAATCCTCCGAGTTGAATTTTTTTCAAAGATTAGGTATTTTCAAATGAAGAGTCTCTTTTCTGTGTTTTTATTTAACTTCAATTGGCTTAGAATTCGTAAAAAGCAAACGGTATTAGTTTTGAGGTTAAAAAAATGATCTCTTCACAAACTAATTTGAATTGAGTCAAAAATTTTAAATTTTTTGAGCCGTTTGATAGTTGTATAACTGCGTCCCGAGTCAACAATTTAGAACGAAGTTGTCGGATTTTTATCCTTTTTATCAACATGAGATAAATTTATCGAAATTTCACTCTTTTATTGTTCTTCAAGCTTAGCTTAAATATTTTTAAAGTCCAAAGTTATTAGGCGATATTTTTTCTACATTCGAGAGCGTAGTGCAATAGTACGATTTTTTTCAAACCTAAGTTGGACCTATCAGTGCCACTTTGAATGGCACTTTGCGGCTTTTTGATAGCATAAGCTTTGACCTTTGATTAATAATAAGTTAACACAGTTGATACCTAGCAAAGTTTTACTAATTCAAGACTTATTTCTACTTTTTTTTCTTCTATAAACCTGTTTTTGGTGTTCTCGCTAGTGTTTGCAAAGAGCAGCTTTGCATCTGTGTTTACTTTGAAAACTTGCTGTTAGTTTTTTTCGCTGGATCTATTTGAACTGTCTGTTGACTATGTCGATACATTTTTTTTATTTAATAGTAATGAACGTAGTGAAGACTCTTATATAGGTCTTGATAATTTTTTCTTTATATTTTTTTCAGGAAAAAGTCTTAAATTTTGATGCACTTAGGTATATATGCTTTTTTGAGTTCAATTAAACTTCATCTGCTAAAAATGACGTGAATAGTATTCTCCGAAAAAGAATGTAGTATTGGCGCAAAAAAAACGTGAACGATTTCTAGTATCGAAAGTGGAGTTTAATTTTCAGATTTCCAGCGGATTGAAATTTACCTGTTGATACAATTTTTTCAAGTTGGGTTAATTTTATCAGAAAAGCGCCAAACATAAATCGTAATAGAAAACTAAAAACTTAAAAGGCAACTGTTTTTTTTCCGTGAAACTCGAAATTGGAGATTTTTTTTATTTAAGCCTGTGTTTTTTTTCTATGTTTACTCGCATTCATTACTGTTTTCTCATCTTCGATTGGCTATGTTCATGGTTTTTTAGTTTTTTAAGTAAATTTGAGTCATTTTTTTCTAGATTGAAGCTAATCGAGGAAATTTCCA